TTCCTCTGGAAATATTTGTTTAAAAATACAACAATTCAGAAATTGCTGTTTTCATTGGTTGAAAAGTACTTTGGCTAGATTAAGGAATGGAAGAATGTCTGCTTTAGGTAAACACGACATTTCATAGACACCACACAAACATTACAAGATTACAAACGGAAGTGTGATGGACCGGGCAAGGATGCCAAAGCACTTAATGATTACTATGCGACGTTAGATATTTTGCTTGATATAGTTTGAAAGAAAAGGTCACCATCGCTGTTACAACCTCTCTGACCACCATTGTTAACCGCCAACCTTACATCAGCGCACAAAAGGTGCGCAATCGGCGTCGAGAAACTAGTTTGCATGCAAGAGGGTTATTCGGGGGTGTTGTGTTGAATTAAATAAAGACATCGTCAAAGAGGGAGTTTCGATAAGGCCGCTCAGCGGCCCACTTTTTTTTTCATAAAAATAAATTTCAATTTATTTTTTCAAAGTTAGTTTAGAATTCAAGATAATTATGTTAACTTTTGCTATTTATATTTTAAAAGTTAATATGAGATGAATTCACACAGTAGTTGACACATACTTAGAGGTACCCTCAGATCCGTTAACATTAGGCTTATGGGAAAATATAAAAAGTGTGGCATTTTAAATTCCATATATAGAATATGAAGTGCATGAGGGACACTCGCCTAAATTTGCTTAATAATTAGATATACTCTGAAAACTAATGTCTTGAAATATGATGAGTGTCGCGTGTGCATTTCATAGACAAAAATTGAAAATTGCATAAAATTTGCATATCTAAAATTAGAAGCTTCTGGTTTCTTGATCTGACTCTGTGTTAAAATACTAAGCCAAAAGTAGCATTTTTTTTTAAATTAAAGAATCTTAACAATAGAAAACATTATCGTATCCTATCTTCATATCGATAATTTTTTTCGTCGCCAACGTATAACGTTAAAGTCACATTTTTAGTTCACCTCCACCCGAAGATGGGGGGCGGGGGTGTGATACCGTCGGCATCGGTCTTCCAGATAAAAGTTTTTGAAGCAGATTTTTTTTGCAAGTATATCTAATGCCCTATAATAATCAGATTCACCTGATCTAGTGTGTTTCCTTGTCACCAGTCAGGTTTCAGATGCTGCATTTTCAGCCAAAGAATGTCCAGGTAAATATTTTAAAAGCAGATTTAAGTTTTTGGAGCAGAGCAGCTGTAAGCACCCGTTGACCAGTCTTGCTTCATGATGCATCTTCAGATGCACGCTATACCAGACTTGCTTCAGATGCTGATTCTGACCTACATTTTCTTAATGAATGAGTAGGTTAAAGATTTTGAAGCGGGTGTCATTTTTATGTAACTATGAGCCCTATCGTGACCAAATTTGCACTGATGATGCATCTAGGATTGCACACTACCAGACATGGTTCAGATGCTGGATCTTCCTTACATTTTCCGACTGGCTGAACAAAAATAAGTTTTAGAGCAAGTCCATTCTTTAACGTTATTTATCATGCATAGTTATTTTACATAGTTATTTACTTTCTTGTAAATAGAAATCCACGCTCCAACGTGCCAGAAAAGTGCACATATATCTCGGTGTGGTTGACCTAGGGAACGTGGATTGTTTTAAGTCTGGATGTTGAGGCGCATATTTCTGCAGGATTAAAGACATATCTTTAGGTTTACATATGTATTTCGAACTGCGGCTCTGGTCTAGCAAATCATATATAATGAATTCTAAAACTCTCTAGATGAGAGGTGACTAGAGTTGGTGAAGCAACTAAAGTATCTATGGAGAGCTGGGAAAAGAGAGGAAATAAGTCCTGGCTGGGATTCTCTCAGTTATGCTGAAAACATAACGCAGATCTATGTGGGCAAATACTTTTAAGTTTCATTATGTGTTGGCCGCAGGAAATCTTTTTGGCACCCGCCGGATCATATATTTTTCTAGCGGCCGCTGAATAATTATGCAGCGGCGACCAGATAAAATATTTTTCTTACTTTGCACCTACAGGCTTCCGTAGCAATATGATGCTTTTGAATATACTTATTATTTATGTGTGTATATAAAGCTGCATTTATTTTTTAATTGTAACGATTTTTCCTTTTATTTCAAATTTTTTTTATTCAATTTGATGATATTAAGGTATAGTTTTATAAAACATGTAGTTGTATAACCTCATTGATGAAAATATATTGCATATACCTGTATATGAACGTTTTAACGTTTTCCTATCTCATGTCTACATATCTTTTCATTTGCATTTTTCGTTTTGGAAAAGGTTATGTATTGATTAAAAAGTTTATGTATAAACTGTCAATTAATTTTGATTTTAAACTTTCTGTTTATGTTTACGTTTTATTACATGTAGTTTAATTAATCCTCTTTTAAAGAAAAGTAACATTTAACACACCAGAAAGATATCGCTCCTTAAAAAAACATTCGCACAAAATAAATACCATTTTCGTAAAAAAAAAAAAATGTTAAGGTTGAAATTGGTTAATTCATGTCTTTATTCAAATTTATCTTGTTTCATTTACGATTTTGGACGGTTAAAAAACCGACTTTCCCCCTATAAAAATGTCTAATCAAAAAAATATACGAATGGGGGTATACTTAAATTTTCAATTATCACGTGACCGGAAAATGCGCAACATAAATCATATTCATAGTTTTAGGAAGATAAGGAGTTTTTCTACAAAATATCAAAATTTCATATTTCGTGAGGGGCCGAAAAACGGTCTTATCGACCCCCCCCCCCCCTTTGACTCCAGTTGGCAAAACGGCAGTTTAGATTCACTAGTGACGATGGAGCAAATGTCGTCTTTGCAGATGGAAATACTGAGTGGTGCATTAGCAATTTTGTCTATTGTATGGAATGTAATGCTATATACGCAAACCAGAACAAGAAACATAAGTATATGCACAGTAAAGTGACAATATTTTATTTCAAATACTTGCATACAATTCATAAATCTAACGGTTTTTGCAGAGATTGACTCTACGTAATTGTTTATACAAGCGATTAAGATTAACGAAATTAACTTGTAACACCATAAATAAGATCAACTTTTGCCGTAAGCATCTGAGTAAATTAAATTAAAATCAGTTTTTCGGACAATTAAATTGATTTTTTATCATGTCATAGGCGTCGGAACCGGGAGGGGGGCTGGGGGGGGGGGGGGGCTTAGCACCCCCCCACACTTTTTTTGCAAAGATAGACATAATATAGGCATTGAAAATTGGGGCTTACCTTTTTTCATTGGATAAGTCCCCCCTCCCCACTTTCAATTAGCCACCCCACTTTCAATTTGCTTCCGACGCCTATGCATGTGATAAGATTTTATGAATTCTCATCGGTCAGCTGTAGGAAAGCCGATTTTTGTGACGGGCTTGAAAGACATTTTTACTCAATCTTATAGCCCCTTAAAAGAAGGTTCGACCCTTCATTTGAACATTTTTTTTTACACAAGAAAGAATATTTTACATTAGAAATAAAAATCTTTGTGTTTCTAAATATTTCATCACACCTCTAGTGTGTTTCTTGTTATTTTAACTAATATAATGATGATTCAATCCTGACTGTTCAATTTTGTACAAGCTTACATGATACTAGTAATTATTCCATGAAGGGTATTTTTACCTGTCTTAAACAAGTCAGGTGATAGTTCACAGTGAGTACTTTTCGAGCATAATTGAGTTCATTTCTGCCTTCTGAAAATACTGATCTTGAGCAAATTAATAGGAGTTCCATGTGAAAGTAGCAAACCATGATAAAATACTTCTGGCTGTGTCCTTTTGTAATTATAAATATAGATCAAAGACAAGATTGTGAGTAAACCTGTCTTGTACTTTTTTTACATTTCTGGGAGGGATATCATTCTTGCTGCAATATGAATTAGTGTAAAATCCTAAAAAGTCATCAATTTTTAAAAAAAAAAAATTGTCTTATAATTCCATTTTAATTTTAGAAAGAGGAAAGAGAGAGATTACAACAGGTATATAGCCCCATACAAAACTTTATATATTTGTGATAGCAAATTCTTGGGGGACGCAATATTTGAAAAGCAATTTTCTTTCATGCATTGTTTTCAGAAAAACTCAAAGCTTAAAATTTAAAATTTATATTCATGTCAACATAGTGCAACTTTTATCTATATTGATAAAAATGTACATTAAAAAAAAGTATGATTAAATAGCTAAATCAAAGTGTTTTGAATAGCAAAACCAAGCTATACCAGTATAGCTATTTTTTAATTCATCTACAGAGCTTAATCAATTTTAAGAGTTGTGCAAGACCTGTTTTAATTCTTAATCATTCTTAAAATATTTATATCACCATTCCAGATCCAAGGGAGAGCTATGAATATGACCATAAAGCCCATGACCTATTGATTTAATAAAGACATATACAGAAGATCAGTAAATAATGATGACAAGTGGGAAACAGCCAGGTTAATATTCACAAATTTTAGGAGTTTTCAACATTTAAGACCATGAAGACACAACTCCTTCCCCTTTTCCCCCTTCCCAGCCCCCGGCTCGTTTATGTATAAATTATTCATAGCTTGTTTTGGTATAAAACAAATTGTGAATAATACAAAAATGAACATGTACACAAAGTAAAATGGCAGGTCTCTGAATGATTTTCATTTTCTAATTCTAGGAGGTTGGGCTTTATTAATTTATAAGTATAGATTTTACAAATGTAAACCTGTTTGCAAAATTTCTAGACCCGTGCCATGGCCGGATAAAAGTGACCATATGCCTGTTTAGCAGGTATATATTGTCACGAATAAAGCGATAAATTTTTCCAGGTACATCTTCATTTTAAATTTTTTTGTGTGATTTTGTTCCTCTTTCCTTCCAAGGAAATATTTTTTGACACTTTCTGGTTATAAAAATTGAAGGTCTAAAATCCTGGATAGCAATTTCTTTGCACGCTTTTTAAGTTAACGATTTTTTCCCAGCACTATTGTCAGCAGCGGACAATTGTGATTGGACTATTGATATTGTGGACCTGCCTGTGGTTCACGTGACTTTAATTATTGTCAAAAATCGTGAAATTGTCCGTTTCAAGCAACAGCTTTCAATCCTCCTGCTTGTTCACCGATTGTAATTAATATTTGGATAGATATAAATAGGGGAAATTAAATAAAATTTTCAGTCATATCTTGTACAAACATGTGGCAACTAAAATTTGCAATTCTCCTTTGTGGTATCGTTGCAAATGGTAAGTTTTTTCCTTTTTTTCTATACATTTGTATATACTTTCAATCTTTGACATCGAATGTCATACAGGTATATCTGTTAAGTACATAAGGGGATACTTAGTTGAATATACACATGCACCAATGGTTGTGCCAGTTCTTTTCAGGAGTGATTAAAAACTATCTTTAAAAAAAAAAGTTTGGTTTTTCATATTAAAAGAAAATTAGCTTGATCTTATTAAGACAGATGAAATTTTTCCAAATGATTAATTTAAAATAAACAGATTCTTTCTTAACCTTTTTTTGCATAATTTTGTAATTTGACCATATTGAACTATTGTTCATTGCTAGAGTGAATTCCTTCCTTGAACATTAATTGATTAAAATACGCTTCTTACCTATGCATGCAACGGATTTTAATTCAAATCTAAGGGAAGCGATCTTATTTACAGCAAAACCAAAAATAGCCTTCACTGCAACCTTATCAAAAAATACAAACGTTGGTTACCATGAAGCTGTAAAGTATAACAGGGTCTTAACCAACATAGGAGGTGCCTACCATCCATGGACAGGGCACTTCAAAGTCCCATACAGCGGTATTTATCTGATTTCATGCACGGCAATGAGTGAAACCAAAAAACCTGCCTACCTACAGATTGTAAAGAATCACCAAGTTTTGACAACAATATTTTCGAGTACAAAAACCTTCCCTCAGAGTGCGCAAACCCTGATTCTACAGCTAAGGAGAGGCGATCGTGTCTGGGTTTGGGGACGATATGAGCGTCTCACACTGCGTGATAATTCCTATTTCAATGTATTTTCCGGTGCTTTGCTGCATTAGGCTTGCAGATAAACCAACAACTTTTAATGAGGAACTGCAGTAATGTCCATTTTTTGTGTGATTTCAGCTTTTTCTACAAGACGTGCACGTATCGTAACATTTAGCTATGATGTGTAATCTTTTTTTTTTTTTTTATAATTTCAGACGTGTAACCTTTCAATTGTTACATTGAACATTGTCCAAAAATGTTATTTATTCTCTTTGTATTCTTCTTGGGGAAAATGTATATGTAATTGTTGGCGTTTTCTATTTACAGCTAAACTTTCTTTTTAAATTAAATCTGCAAACTAACATGTGCATGGTTTGTTTTTTTTTTGAAAATACATTTAAGTATTTTTTTTATTTATTTATTTTTTGTTTTGTTTTTTGTTTTTTTTTTTGTTTGTTTGTTTGTTTGTTTGTTTGTTTGTTTTTTTTGTTTTTACACTTTGGCACTAACAATTAATCTGACAACACCGTTATAAAAAAGATGGAGGACAGTGATTAATCTAATTAATCCCCAAAACAACACAAAATCGAGAACAGATCAAAAACAATTGCAGACCCTGGAAGCATCGTATGAATGATGCCTAGTTATGGCACGCCGATTGCATCAAAATTATTTTCTGCACAACGATCACAATTTTATACACGAGCTTGATGAAAAATATACACGAGTAAAATAATAATGCACGTATCGGTAAAAATTGCACATAGTTTGAAAGATTTTAACACAAATATACCGAAAAATACACGAATCCGAAATTTTTTACACGGTTAAGGGGTATAAAATGCACAAACGTAAAAATCAAAAACTGCACGAGCAGAGGAAACTATAAATTACTCAAACAATTTTACCTGCGCATACAGCTGCGCATATCATTATTATGCACATAGAATATTCATTGTGTTCTTGGTTTTCTGTACTCTTTATCTTTTCATGAGAAGATAAAGAGTAAATGTAATCGAGAGAAAATGGCGTTGACGATGGCAAGCATGTATTTGTTTGGCAATGCTTCTTTATTTCTTTGCTAAAACTCGATCCTATTTCTAGATAATGCGAATCGAACGAATGAAGTGGGGTTTTTTGTGAAGTGTGTGAGAAAAATTTAATAGCTGTTCGGAGATATTAATTATGTTTTATATTGACCGAGATTCTAGCCAAAATATGGAGGTATATGATACCGGACATAAATTGTGACAAGAAAGGAATCGCATGCTTGTGCTATAATGCAGGGTGAAAAAGTACCATTGCATATGATGCACTCGACTCCGAACTAAAAGTAATATTCAAAGACAAAACACAGCAAACTCTAAATTCCTAACGATAAAAAGTACGGCTGACTATGATCTTGATTCTCCCTATTTAGGTGTGTGTGTGTGTGCGGGTGAGGGTGTGTGTGTGTGTGTGTGTGGGGGGGGGGGTTATAAACGCTCTATGGCCTTTGAGAATTCTCTAACTTATAGATACAACTTTAACGGAAAGAACTTGTATAAAATAAAATTAACACATGCATAATAAAACGATTAATAATATGGATTCTTCATGAAAATGATGACAGAATTATTGCTGGTTATAATCATTAAATTGTAGAATTTATTTTGGTTCTTTTCATTTGTACAAATTATGGATTCATTTCGGCAGATTTTTTTTCATTTAGGAATAGGAAATTATTCAGTTGGCTGGATATATTTTTTTTTCCAAAAAGCTTAAATATTGGGGATAACCATACCTTAGATATAAACAGTATGTATTTAAAGTCAAACATTACAAAATATTTTATTTCTAATTATAAATGGACATGTATCGATGTTTATAAAATATGAGGATATCCATTTTGGTTGGATATGTTATGAATTCCTTCCTTGATATCGTATATATTTCAGTCATAAACTGCTCAATAAAAAACCAGACATTCTTAAGGGTAAGCGTTACCCTCATTCGTAATGGCGATTACTTGATAAATGTTTTCACTATTAATAAAAAGGACCAGATAAAGGGAAAATATATATACTTCATGTGCTTTATGTACATGCGGTTTTGTGTTTAGTTACTTAGAATTTGTCCAAATGAAATAACAAAACTCTACTCAAATGATCCTGGCACCGGGAAACACATGTTCAGTGGCGGATCTGGTTCGTGGATCGATTGGAGTCACAACATTTGAATCTATGTATTTGTTAAAGTTTCAAATCGTTGGACCATAATGACACATCAGAAATTTTAAAACAGTGAATTACTAAATAAAAGGAGTTAAGAAAAATTAAAAAAAAAAAAAAAACACACACACACACACATAAATTAAGCTTTAATTCACATAAATAAAAGGACTGTATAATTTTTCTACATTTTCATGGAGCTTTATGAAATCACCACACGTTGTTCAAAATTAAGACTAAATGTATTACTTTGTTACATACATATATCAAAATGTGAGATATGCGTTTTAATATTAAAGTAAAAATTGCACAAATATTTGCTCGATTTTCTTAACTGTTGACTTCCAAACAGTTTTCAGTCAAATTGCATAACCCAGATGATCTCAGCATTGCTTCAAAATCTTTGTATGAAATGCTAGTAATCCTTAATCAAAAGTTATTATTGTTGTGTCAAATAGCTATAAATCGATTAGCGTACAGGTGTCTTTCGTTCCAGAATCAGCAGGGAGGGATCTCTGTATGAAAAGGTCACTTATGCACATCCTTGATAATTACCAAAAGTACACACAGTGGGTGATGGAGGAGAAGAGTTTGATTTGTTGTTAACTCTCCTGTATTATATCACATGTTTTTATTTTTATTTAGCCTATATGTCATTTTTTTAACTTTCAAAAGAAATTGCTATATAGAGGAATCACATACTTAAAAATAATCCAACAATTAAACCCACAACCGGTAATATGCATTCCCCATTTTTACGTTATCTCTACAAGTATTCTGTGTAGAATGTTTTTTAATCGGGTGTCATATACTACTTAAGATTGTGTGCCTGTCAATTTATCTACATGTATAATATACGTTGTACATATTCTTGAGAGTCTAGTGGAATTTTAAAAGATTCTTTTTTTTTTAAAAAAAGATTACTAACAGGACGTTACTCATCCTTTTGTATTTATACATGTATTATGTTTCAAGCATCCAAGCCACATTGACCTTTCTCTAATGAATATTAGTGAAATGTGCGCAATGAGGATGCGTTGCGTATTATGTCGATGTTGTATTCTCACTCGTTGCAGCTAGTTTTCGTTTTTACGTTTGTGTAATTTCCTCACTACATCGTGTTAATTGTGCAGTTTTTCTATAGTTTGTGTAAATTTCAATAACTTCGTGTGTATTTTCCTCACTTTTTGTCTGTTTACTTACTCGTGTAATTTTGTTAAGGTCGTGCAGAAAATAATTTTGAAGCAATCGGCGTGCCATACCTAGTTAGTGCATTCCCTGTAAACCGGTCACACTTGTCGTGCGCCCTTTGTGTTTATCTGGGAAAAGAAGAAGTCTGTAGACAAAAGTAGTATGAAAACAAAGGGTTTAACGTGTCAGTCTATATTCTACTCAGCAATAAGTTTTATTTGCAAACAATGTCATAATAGCGACTATAAGATTTGCAACATTCTGGCTTGAAAGCCCCGTAATATCATTTTGTTTTGTCAGTAGTATTCATCTGTTTAAAAACTGTTCTATATAGAATATAGGCCTTTGCGTTAAGGGTCAGTTTGGAAACATTGATGCCATATATGCAGTTGATAATAAAATACCAAGGGTATTGCTTTAAAATATGGGAAGTTGTCAGTAGAATAGCTTAAGTCGTCCAGTTTGTGCATAATAGCTGACAGTTTTCCATTAACGTCTTTATACAGTAAACCACCTAAATATAGAAAAGATTTGGCATTTGGCAAACTTTGAGGTGTCTTTTCTTCGAGTTCACTGCGATACATACAATCGACATATGAATGTAAATAAATATTGTCAAGTAATAAAACGTTGTCGAAATTCATGTATCTAAATGTAAGAAGACTACAATAAAGTTTTCCCTCTTTCTACATGGAAAGTTCTTGAATACATTGTTCCTCATTAAAAAAAAAGGTCTGTGCTTTCTCATTTATACAATAATATCTACAATTCCTGATTTGAGACATTGATAAACGCAAAAGATCTAAAAGTATGAATATACATTTTTCAAGAAGTCACTTTAACTATGGTGTTTAAGTTAGGAATAGGAAGAAAAATATTTCTAGTAAGTTTTAAAACGTATAGAAGCATCTAATGCAAATAATTTACCTCATGTTCACATGTATATACATCCTAATAAATCCCAACGAACTAGCTAGGCAGTTCTCTTTACAAAAGCTTCTATATTCTACATATTAAAAGATCTGTTTGAACGGCTTTTTAATTTTTATTCTATTATTTTTTAATTTTTATTAACAAAATTAATTTTTTTGCAAACACTGCACAAGGTGAACAAAAACAGCAATCATGGCACTTCAGACTAAACAGGGTTTATACTACATAACATATCTTAGAAAACTTCATTGAAATAATCAATCTCCCATTTATTGAGTAAACTGACTCTTTGTAGGGGTTTGAAATTAACAGTGGGGGCCAACAACATCTTTATTCAGCAACCAGTCTGTCTTTTCAATTTTGAAAAAAAAATACTGCTCCATAAATAGCCCACTTTTAGTCCTCCATTCCGTAGACAACAGGAAGAATATTGAATCAGGAAACTGGCTCCATATTAATAAAGTGGTGAGTTTTCAAGTCCACAGTGTTCCAAGGTGGTTATCATAGGACTTTTTAAATAATACACCAAGGCGAAGGCGTAGTCATGGACATCGATCATGCAAAAGACCAAAAGTACATGATGTCTCATATTGGATTCGCTTTTACCTTACGTCAATAAACAATTAGGTCTTCATCATATCGGCACAAAAAATCACTCTGTTCCCTTGAACTATTCAAAGAAGCTAAAGCAAGTCCGTAGTTGGATTCTTCAACTCCAGAATGTAGACTACTGTTTGTGATCATGGACAGCACGGGCTCTTTAAAGGGGCCTAGACACAGATTTGAAGTTAATATTTTCTCAAATTTTCAAATCTGTGTCTAGGCCCCTTTAAGCTATATCACGTGTATGGAAGGTAATAATTCCGAATCAGCCTGCCGGGTCCTTAAGCTTAAACGTGGTACTGGCAAAGGTAGAGATACAGACTGTAAATACTGGTAAAATTCTTAATCATAAAAAAAATTCAGTCTTGCATTCCATCATATTTTATGCGGGTCTATGACCTGTATTTCCAACAGATATTCCGAAACTGTTGTTTCCAAACTTTTTAATTATATTAAACAAATCCTACCTTGACTAATTGTTGAACATCTAAAAGAAAATCCTCCTCAGTGTTTTAGTTCTTCATCTTCTTTCAACTTCATATAATATAATCTTGCTAAGCAGATTTTATTCAAAAACTTCTACATGAAAAGACATCTCTTGCTGTGGCTATATGAATTCAACAGTAAGACATGTCGGCGAAGTTTTATCATTTAACAATATTCATTTTCATTCCTACGTTGAATCGATATATCCCTTTGATCTCAAAATAAAAGATACCAAAGAGTCTCAAACATTTGTTTCATATTTGGATATTTTACTAGAAAAAGACATCAATGGTAATCTAACAAAAAAAAAACCCTCTATGATAAACGCGATGACCAACTTTTCTATCGTCAAATTCCCTTATTTATATAGCAATATACCATTATCATCTGCATATGGAGTTTATGTCTCCCAGTTGATTCAATTCGCAAAAGTATGCTCTGTGCTCTAAGAACAGTCTCTAAAACGAGGCAAGCTCTTGACAAATAACTTGATGAAACAAGAATATCAACAGTCTCCTTTAAAGTCAACATTTCGTAAGTTCTATGGTCAATACAATAACCTTGTCAGCAAATACTATCTATCATTAAGTCGAATATTGACTGATGTTTTCATACAAATTGTTAGGACATTATTTTCACACTGAATTGTCTATGGATTTTCCCGATTGTCCGATCATGAAAAAGAGAACACAGCGGGTGTGTCCGGTGGACAAGGGATGCTTACTCCTCCATGGCACCTGATCCCACTTCTGATGTTTTAGAGGTTCGTGTTTGCTCTGCTTCAAATTTGTATCGTTTCTATGGACATATGAGCTTGACTACTGTTCGTTATCCTTATATTTCATACTTTTTACGACCGGTCACACGCGCCGTGTGTCCTTGAAACAACGGAAAAATCCGTCGACGATCCATGCAGTGTGTAAACAATGGCCTAACAATAGGCATGAAAAACTTCAGTCAGCACATGACCCAATGATAGACTGCATTTGCTGACAATGTCATTGTATCGACCATAGAACTTACGAAATAATGACTTTCAACGAGACTGTTGATTTTCTTAAAAAGGAATCTAAAAAATTTGCCCATCTTTTATCAATTAACAACAGCTAGTTTGTTTGTTTGTTTGTTTTTTTTTTAAATTTATTTATATCTCGACTCAAATTCATACCTGTGTTTTCGAAATGAAAATCACCACAGTGTATGCCACATCTGTTTCATACCTGAAGTTTTTACTGACTATAAGGTTTAAAAACAAACAAACTAAAACTGTATGACCAACAGGATGGGTTTAACTTTTCCATCGTCAATATCCCGTATTTGTGAAATAATATTCAACTATTACCTACATATGTCTCCCAAATGAGTACGATCAATTTTTGAACAGCCTATACTAAAAACAAATTAATGTTGTAGGGCTTTCTACAATCCCCTTTAAAGACAACATTTCGCAAGGTCTAAGTCGTTATTAGACCTTGTTTGCATAAACAACCTATCCTTGAGTCGTATTTGACTGACGTTTAATACCAATCATTAGTTCACTTTGTTTTCAAACAAATCTGACCAAGGATTTTTCCCTTTATCTAACAAATACAGAGGCTCACGGCGGGTCTGAGCGGTCAACAGGGGATGCTTATTCCTTCTATGCACCTGATCCCACCTCTGGTGATTTTAGAGGTCCGTGTTTATGCCCTGTTCACGTTTTGTATTGTTTACAGAAATAACGTCCAAAAAGGAAGGATAGCTACGTACATATGAAACTTACATGTTCAAATCAACTACTTTATTTACAGACAATTTATACACATTTAACTAAGTAACTTGTGTTCAACAATAATATAAAATTGATGATAAAGCAAAGCTTTGTTCTGATATTTGATCATAAACATAACGCAGCGTCAACCTTGCTCTGATCCTCGGAATTGTGCTGAGGTATTTGATGAAACTAGAAAGTGTACAGTAGATTCATAGATATCCATATACTCCTAAAATAATGTTTTCTTCCGTAAACATATGCTTTCCGGCAAAATATATCCATGAATTAAGAAAGCGGACAAAAAACATACCTCGACCCCCTTTCTATCGATACCTCGACCCCCTTTCTATCGCTTCAAAATCATACACCCCGTGCACAACACAGTATACACCCCGTATGTTGGGATACACACGGTGGGATAGGAATTTTAAAATGTGAAATGTTTACAGATAAATGGACTCCAAAACATTCAGAAAAGCACACTTGTGCCTTTGTCTCAGTGAGCTAAAAACTAATTGCCAAGAAACAAGATATACTTGCTATAAACTTGATCTCATCTCATCACAAATCCTGTCTAAAAGAATTGACACAATACTTTCCTCAGAAAAGTGGAGGGGGTAGCAAAAAGATATCCTTGCCCTGCTAGATGAGACATAACTGACCTTGTATTTGATAATTTAACACATATTCAAGTGATGGATTTTATTTGCCCTTAATTTAGCAATAAAACTTATTTTGCATTCTCAGTGCTACCCTAGTCGATTCTGCTACTTCAAGTACTGTACTTTGCTAACATCTAATTGAAACACACATTCAAATACTATAAATTCAGTGTACACTAATTCATTTCTGTGCCTTAAGTGTCTTACAAGAAGAATTGTCTTACATGTAACTTTATAGCATCTAAGACGAAGTAAAAAAATGAGCTAGGTCTCCAAAACAACTTTGAACTAACACAAAATGAAGCTAGACAGCCTTTTAGCTGAACAGCCTTTTACATGATTTTTTGTTGTGTCATCTTAATCATACATAATTTACATTTCAAAATAATACTTAAACTGTTGAATTAAAACACAATTAAGGTGAACCTTAAGGTCAAGCCTGCATTGGTTTTTTTATAATCTATAATCCTTGTATCTTGTGATAATTAAATACAAACAAAATGTCGAGTGAACAAAGATAGGTTTTCTGGAAACAATGTTGTTTAAAGCAACAGAAAAAAACTTTTATATTTTCATTAAAACATTCAAAATCTTTTTGGGTCAGATTGCACAAACTACATCTATGTGATGTTTTTTAAGACTTTGACTTCTCAAAACAAATTTTAAAAAAATATTATTGAGGGGTTCAACATGTATGGGTTCACAGTTTGTTAACAAAAATCTAAATCAGCTCCTAGTGTCCTTCAATGAAAAAGCTCACATATTATTTGATTTGATACACATTCTCTTAAAACATAACAGAAAATATTTTGCAATTTCTTTCTTACGAATTTCTTCTATTTAGTTGACATTATTGACTAACAATATGACCAGTCCCCGAGACAATGTAACATCTTAAGCTGAAGTTGAAATGTGCATATTGCACTGAATTTATTTAGAAGTTGAAATGAAAATGCTATTTAATTACCATTGCATCATCAAACTGATTTTGTCTGCAAATGAAGAATTTCAGTTCATTAATAATGAACATCTTACAGACAATTGAAAATCTGACTTAAGTCTAAGTTTCTTTCATGATCCAAGGACAAGAAGCAATATATTATTGCTGTCAACAAAACATTCCCTTTTCTGTGCAATCACCTAGTTTAATTCTTGAAAAAAAAAATTCCAAACTAATGGCTTTATTTTGTACACTGTATTCAATATACTGTAAACAATAATCACATATTATTTTTAGCATGTATGATGTTTGACATCTATATTAATTTTTTGAACAAGTTAGCATATTTAGCTCATTTCTGAATGTTCTTATTTATGACATTTAGCATTATACTTGAATTAGCAGAAGTTGCTTTCTGATAAATGGCCAAATTAGAATACACAGCTAAATGTAATACGTTTACGGTATCTGCATATAAGAGTTTCACTCTACATTACAAATTGACTGGGAACCGTTCACAAATAAGAGGGAAAAAATTATAAAATATGGCCTTATAATATAAAAACATACACACATCAATAACTAGTTCAACAAGATTATTCATTACATTGGTATAACTGGTATATAAAAATATAAAGTACCCAGCATAACAACAGTAACTAAGTAATGGCTTCTGTACAGGATCAACCATCTATATTGACAAACAGTAAAATATGGCGTAGATTGGTAATTATGCTCTATATCTGCCTTGTAATCTCTATTACACGAGTTTGACTGACACACAGCAGACTTGTCAACGATGTACCCTTCTGCCTGTGATCAGACTGGTGTTTTCTGTGGCTAAAACATCAAACGCTGTAAAGACAAATGGATTCTTTCAAATATATCTCCTCTTTCAACTACTTGTTTTAAAATGTATTGTAATCATGCAGTATAATTCCTTGCGCATCTCTCTTTTGAGGTCATGCATTAAACTGACCCTCTGGTGTCTTTCTTGATTTCAGGAATTAAATATTGAAAATGTCCTACTTTTTTATCTCCGTATCAAACTCATGCATTAAAATGATCTACTATCTTCTCTTTAGCACATGTAATCATACATTAGAATATCATTCTCGCATCTTTTTATAAAAAAAACTTATGCATCAAATCAAATGCTTTACTCACCTCTCTCTTTAAGTCCTTCTCCAAAATTTTTGTAGACCGTTTTCAGTTCTATCATAATTAGTATCCACAGCAGTAGACCTAGTGTTCCTAAACAAAAAGAAAAAAAAATATTTCCATTATGATAGCAATTATCTCTCTGTATGTAATAAAGACAGCTCTGGATATTTTTATCCACAACAGTAGCCCTAATGTACTTAAACACAGAAAAGGAAGTATTTCAAAAATGATTTCATGTATCTCTCAAAGATGTGACTATCTATGAATTCTATTATTAAAACATTTCTTCACTGATTTTTGCAAAAGATATAGATAGTTACCTGCCACCAGTGTGGAATATACTAGGATTTCTCCTTTATCCGTGTCTTTGTCATCCAGCCTTTGATATTCCTGTTAGAAGATATCAACGTATCAATGGATAGTAGAATTCAAAGTAATGGCTATTTTTTTCCCATAATTATAAACTAATTGTATAGAGCAAGAAAAAAAGTGGAGCATATTCCAGTTATTCTTCTGTGTAAAATCTACCAATATTTCAACCTCCATCTATCCATCCCAATTGATTTTCTCCTCAGGAGATAGATTTTATTTAAAAATGGCTTAATTAAGCTGAGATAACCAAAACTAAAGACTGCAATTTTTGCCTAATTTGAAGTATATGTACATGTATTGCGTTACAAGTATCAAGTGTACCCTTTACAACAAAGAGGCTTCTTCACTAACAATCTTACAATAAAGTTTGGTAGAATTGAATATCATCACTAAAGAGGTTTAAAATTTAAAGAAAATATATAGGACCAGGCAAAAATTTTCTTTGATAATTATGAAATACATGTATTAATAAAAGCATCTTGGTATGTAAGGTACAACACTAATAAGGATGCTAAAAGGGGGAGGAAATAAGCACTGCCTTCAAATTTACCATACCCCGTATGCAAACTTGATAAAGAAGCAGCCAGAGCTGACTTTTTTTTTTTAATTTTGGCTTCATAATTTAAGAAGATTCTATACATAAAATCAGTCTGTCAAATGAATGCTGACCCTTGTTGGAAGCATCATGTAATCAAATATAGGATCAATTGTAATTTAAAGCAAAATTCCATCAATTACGAATAAATCGTTTATAATTTTGTTCAGGTTACAGTGATAGAATTATTCAGATAAAGTTGAAATATGGTTCTACAGGCCATTTTAGACATTTAATATATTGTTTGCAAGTATTAGAGACATTTTAAGCTGTATTTACAATGATTGTATAAAATATTTTGCTAAAGAGGTGCATGTAAGCAAGTCATTCTAGAGAACAAGAATTCTGTGAGCCAATGCTCACTAGTAATACCCCTTCTCTGATGTGAATACACACTCTCATATGGCATGCCTAAACAAAGTGTGTGCTACAATTTCAAGCATCAGCAATGAGTAGTTGCTGAGAAAACTGGGACAAAAATTTGTTATGGACAGACACACAGCTAGACACACAAGGGTAAAAGAGTATACCCCCTCTCCTTCAGAACGGGGATGTAATTATGGCTGTTCTGTGTTAAAAAAAATAAAGGCAAAAGCTTTTTTCCAATAAAGATAAACCCTCAAACTTAGTTACTTGAAATTTGAAATCAACTGTAGCTAAGTTAAGGTAGCTAAGGACACCTGACCCCAAAAAAACCTCCCAATAGATTTTACTGAAATTTTCACATGGTGCAAAGGAATGTGTAATGAACCTTTAGTGGAAATATGAATATGGCATTGAGGGTAAATTACGGAACCAGGGGGTAATGAGTTACCTCCCCTTTCCAGTCACTCCAAAAATCATAATACAACATATATATTACATATAAAAAATTTATTATGCAATATGCATTCAATATTTAAAATCATTTTTAAAGAATTTTGATACTATAAACTTATTTTAACAATGGATTGTCTGAACAAAGATAAATTAAGAGAATATTGCTTATAAATGTTTTAAATTCAACAAATTTGACTATTTTCATGCACACAAATTTGACACTTTTTACATTCTAAAAAAAATTCTGTCCAATAGAATGTTTTCCCGTCATGAGAATAAGAATAATGATTGAAGTGCTAAAAAAAAGGCAAAGTAAATTAGAAAAAAAAAACAATTGAAGAAATAAATCAGAAGTACAAAACAATTACTAATAAATGATTAATGAAAATATTTATATGACATTAGGAGAAATCATAGAGTAATGACATGATGAGTTACCTCCCCTCTCCCCTCACTATAAAACTCATAATTTATCCAATATTGATAATAATAATCCATAAAAAAATTAATTGTTAGATATGTGCTTTATTTTTAAAATAATTCCTAAACAAAATTAAAATATGAATTTATAGTTCAACAATAGATTATTTGAATGGAAATGTAATTTAAAAGAAAACACATACAAAAACTCTTCAACCTTAACAATTTTCATTCCTTTCATGCAAACAAATTCTATATTTTCTTATATAAAATCTTTAAATTAATCTGCTCAAATAGATTTTTTTGATAATATCATTATGTGAAAAATTTGTCCAATACTATTCCCCACTCAAAAATCTTGCCACAGGGCTAATTAACTAAAGGTACCAAATGGTCCAAATCTACCCCCTCCCATTTTCCAGAATTGAAAATAAGAATCAAATTTGGTGTGCTTCTAAAAAAATGCAAAACAAGAATGTGACTCAATAAGATATTTAATTGGTACTACAACAAGAGGCCCAAGGGCCACTTCGCTCACCTGAGTAACTTTGGCACACTGTTCTTTACCAGATTTACCCCTTGTAATACCTACTGTGGCCCCGCCCTACCCCTGAGGGTCATGATTTGAACAATTTAGAATCAACACTATCCCAGGATGCTTCCACATAAGTTTCAGCTTTTCTGGCCCAGTGGTTCTTGAGAAGAAGATTTTTAAAGATTTTTCCTATATATTTCAATGTAAGACTTGGATTCCCTATTGTGGCCCTGCCCTACCCCTGGGGGTCATGATTTGAACAATTTAGAATCTACACAATCCCAGGATGCTTCCACATAGGTTTCAGCTTTTCTGGCCAAGTGGTTCTTGAGAAGAAGATTTTTAAAGATTTTTCCTAAACGTTTCTATGTATAACTTTGATCCTCCATTGTGGCCCCGCCCTACCCCCGGGGGGTCAGGATTTGAACACACTTGAATCTACAGTACCTGAGGATGTTTCCACATGAGTTTCATTTTTCCTGGCCCTGTGGTTCTTGAGAAAAAGATTTTTAAAAGATGCTATTCATTTTCACTAATTCTTAATTATCTCCCCTTGAAAGAGGGCGGGGCCCTTCATTTCATAAACTTGAACCCCCTTCACCCAAGGATACTTTGTGGCAAGTTTGGTTGAAATTGGTCCAGTGGTTCTTGACAAGAAGTCGAAAATGTGAAAAGTTTACAGACAGACAGACAGAAGGACGCCGGACAAAATGTGATCAGAAAAGCTCACTTGAGCCTTCGGCTCAGGTGAGCTAACAAGAGGCCCATGGGCCACATCGCTCACCTGAGTAACTTTAGCCATGCTGTTCTTTACCAGATTCCCCCCTTTTAATATACCTATTGTGGCCCCGCCCTACCCCCAGGGGTCATGATTTGAACAATTTAGAATCTACACTACCTCAGGATGCTTCCAAATAAGTTTCAGCTTTATTGGTCCAGTGGTTCTTGAAAAGAAGATTTTTAAAGATTTTTCTTATATATTTCAATGTAAAACTTGGATTCCCTATTGTGTTCCGCCCTACCCCTGGGGGTCATGATTTGAACAATGGATGCTTCCACTTAAGTTTTAGCTTTTCCAGCCCAGTGGTTCTTGAGAAGAAGATTTGTAAAGATTTTTCCTATATATTTCAATATAAAACTTTGATTCCATATTGTGACTTCACCCTACCCCAAGGGGTCATGATTTGAACAATTTAGATTCTACAAGGATGCTTCCATATAAGTTTCAGCTTTTCTGGCCCAGTGGTTCTTGAGAAGATTTTTAAAGATTTTTCTTATATATTTTAATGTAAAATTTGAATTCCCTATTGTTGCCCCGCCCTACCCCCGGGGGTCATGATTTTAACAATTTAGCATCTACGCTATCCCAGGATGCTTCCACATAGGTTTCAGCTTTTCTGGCCCAGTGGTTCTTGAGAAGAAGGTTTTTAATGACCCCACCCTATTTTTGTCTTTTCTTGATTATCTCCCCTTGTAAAGGGACTTGACCCTTTATTTTAAAAATTTACACTCCCCTTCACACAAGGATACTTTGTACCAAGTTTGGTTAAAATTGGCCCAGTGGTTCTTGAGAAGAAGTTGAAAATGTGAAAAGTTTACAGACGGAAGGACAGACGGACGGACGGACGGACAGACGGACAACGGGTGATCAGAAAAGCTCACTTGAGCTTTCAGCTCAGGTGAGCTAATAAAAGTCTATGTGTGGAGTGGTCTGTTACCACTTCAGATGTAACACTCCAACAAGAGATAATATGAAATTGACAAGAGAAGTAGTATATGTTAGTTCAGTTTCATCAAGTGATTCTTGTCCTGCTTTTTTGGAAGAGATGGAAAGTCATTCTTTAGTAGAGCTGCAGTAGTTGAATCATCATCAGCATGAATGGTCTGGACCTCACATTCATATATCTTATACACCTTACTTGTTAAAATTATCTGAAATATAAAATTTAACGTTATTATCTGGAGTCCACATCAAAATATATTCCCCAAAATGTCTATATCCTATATATAGAATTTCAGTGAACATGTATATATACATGTATAACTTGCAGAAGTTTACACCCCATAAATTGCCAATTTTCTACACTTGTCAAATTTGGCATAACAAAATTCAAATGATGACTTTACCAGTATCACTAAATTGCACTAACAGCAAGATCCCCTGGTCTGCTATTCAGCATCAAAAGTGCATTCCAACTGGTCCGGTTTAGCATTCTTCGTCTGTAGCTATCCAACAAGATTCCTTGGCCTGGTTCTACAATAGAGGCCGACATCTCTTTTTCTTCAATGTGGTGACACCATGTGGTGTTAAAGGTGCTGAGAAAATTTACTACATGGGATGGTCCCATACCAGAATGTACCATCAAGTTGGCTGAAAAAAAATAGATCAAATAAATATATACAGGCATCAACAAAATTTAATTATGGTTGTTAGAAAATAAGTTTTTAACCAGAAAATCTTACACCGAAACTGGACTTATCAAGAGAAATGCCCACACTGCCTGACCAATATTCTAACTATGCAGCAGTAGTAAAATAAAGGATTGAATTTTATCAGACCAGCAAACAACATGCAAACAGTTTCAATATGTACCACCTTGTCAAACTTTTTTCCAGTGAAGAAAAACAAATCTGTTCCCAGTCATCTTGGAAACAAAAATAAAAAATTTGTCTTTCACTGAAATGTTAATAATTAATCTGACACCCATAAAATCCCCCTCCCAACTCAAATGGCAGTTCCTTACATGCACTGAGTTTATTAAGGAGAAGTTTTATATTCATGCTGAATTACAATTATGACAGAAGTTTGAAATGGAATGTACATAATGTTGATTTTTATTTGACTTACCAAGAGCTAATTTTGAGTTGATATCAAAGGCCTCTCTATCGTATTTCTTTCCCGTGGAAAAGACATTGGTAAATCCACAAACAGTACAGTACCATTAGTCTCATTTAGGCCCAATGTATTGATACAATTAAGTACCGAGTCAACAATGTTTTTTAAAGTTGTAAAAAATGCAAATGAATACCTTCATCTTGTGGCTGTTAGCAAACAAACTGGACTACCAAGTTCTTTCAGCTCAACAACTCTTCGTCCTTCGTTCCATTTGATGTCATTATAAGATCTACATCAGCCGAGTCGTCTGCTTGGAATAGGGTCATTAGGGGTGTAAGTCGTTTGTGACATTTGTATGCGAATATTCCATTTCATAAAAAAAAAGATTTATAATTGTTGTCCTGTTTGTTGACATGTTATATCTCTCATTCGCTCTAATTAACTTTATCTACCTGGGAGCCAGTCAATGCGCCCCCTAACAAAATCGTCCCGGTCAAAGCGCCCCCTGATTTTGGTCAAAGAGCCTCCTGATTATGGTCATAGCGCCCCCTTAAAAAATTTTACAGTAAAGCGATGTTACAAAACCGCCCCTAAATATTGGTCAAAGCGTCCCCTAATATAAATTGAGCTGGGCAACGGTATCATTCTTTTTTGGGGGGAAGGGGGGTGCTTTTTTTAGGTCACCTGAGTCACTCAGGTGATCTATTGCTATCTTTTTTTTGTCCGTCGTCGTCCGTCATGCGACGTGTGTCGTGCGTCGGTCGTAAACTTTTGAACATTTTCAGCTTCTTCTCTTGAACCACTGAACCAATTTCAACCAATTTTGGCATATAGCATCAACGGGTGAAGGGGTACAAAAATTGTGAATTTCATGGTCCCTGCCCCCCTGGGGCCTGAGGGGTGGGACTAATACCATCAAAATTAGTGTTATCTTTAAAAATCTTCTTTACTCCTGGACATCAAGCAGTCAAACTGTTGACATGATTGTAATAAGCATTGAACCTTCTACCAAAATTGTGAAATTCATGGCCCCAGGGTCAGGGGTTCTGGTGTTAGGGTTGGGCTATATAGATTATATAGTGAAAGTGCATTATTTCTTTGAAAATCTTTTTCTCTTCTCCTGGGTATTATTTAAACAAATTAAGTGCATGGTTATGACAAGCAATGATGCCTTTTCCAAAATTGTGAAATGCATGGCCCCTGGGTCAGGGGTTCTGGTGTTAGGACAGGGCTCTATTGATTATATAGTGAAAATGCATTAATTCTTTAAAATCTTTTTCTCTGCTCCTGTGTATTATTTAAACATACGTGTATGATAATGATGCACAAGGATGATTTTTCCAAAATTGTGAAATTCATGGCCCCAGGGTCAGGGGTTCTGGTGTTAGGGTGGGGCTCTATTGATTATATAGTGAAAATGCATTAATTCTTTGAAAATCTTCTTCTCTGCTCCTGGATATTATATAAACAAACTAAGTGCATGGTTATGACAAGCAATGATGCCTTTTCCAAAATTGTGAAATGCATGGCCCCTGGGTCAGAGGTTCTGGTGTTAGGACAGGGCTCTATTGATTATATAGTGAAAATGCATTAATTCTTTGAAAATCTTCTTCTCTGCTCCTGGGTATTATTTAAACATACCAAGTGTATGATAATGATGCACAAGGATGATTTTTCCAAAATTGTGAAATTCATGGCCCCAGGGTCAGGGGTTCTGGTGTTAGGGTGGGGCTCTATTGATTATATAGTGAAAATGCATTAATTCTTTGAAAATCTTCTTCTCTGCTCCTGGATATTATATAAACAAACTAAGTGCATGGTTATGACAAGCAATGATGCCTTTTCCAAAATTGTGAAATGCATGGCCCCAGAGTCAGGGGTTCTGGTGGTAGGGCGGGGCTCTATTAATTATATAGTGAAAATGCATTAAGTCTTTGAAAATCTTTTTCTCTGCCTCTGGATATTATTTAAACAAACTAAGTGCATAGTAATGGTGCACAAGGATGCTTTTTCCAAAATTGTGAAATTCATGGCCCCAGGGTCAGGGGTTCTGGCGCCAGGGCAAGGCTATATAGATCATATAGTGAAAGTGCATTATTTCTTTGAAAATCTTCTTCTCTACTCCTGGGTATTATTGAAACAAATTGAATACATAGTTATGATAAGCAAGGGTGACTCTACCAAAATTTTGATATTCATGGCCCCAGGGTCAGGGGTTCTGGCGTCAGGGCAAGGCTATATAGATCATATAGTGAAAGTGCATTATTTCTTTGAAAATCTTCTTCTCTACTCCTGGGTATTATTGAAACAAATTGAATAATTAGTTATGATAAGCAAGGGTGACTCTACCAAAATTGTGAAATTCATGGCCCCAAGGTCAGAGGTTCTGGTGCTTGGGGGGGGGGGGGGGGGGGGGGAGGGGCTCTATTGATAATATAGAGAATCTGTAGTAAAAATGCATTATTTCTTTGAAAATCTTCTCTGCACCTGGACATATCAGAGGCAAAAAGATTAAAAGTTTTAATATAAAAAAGATTTTTGAACATCTGGACCATTTGGTCAAGTGTTCTGGTCCTGGCCAGAGCTCTATTAATTTGTATCCAACTGAGAGAAGTTATTCCCCTTTGCTATTTACTTTTGATAATTAATCACTGTAAATAATGTACTTGAAAGGTTAATAGAAGAGGAGAATTATGCAAGATTTTTTATTGTATAATACAAAAACTTTTATAGTTTAAATGATCAGGTAGACTTGTAAGTAATAGATAAATAAAAATGAGACAAAAATAACCTGTCTTATTCAATGTTCATCAAAGACCAAGAGAGTCCAATGTAAGGGATTTCATCAAGGAATTGAAATAGTACAGAATCACTGATAATTTGTTCATATACTGTATGGTGATAGTGATAAATGGGGAACAGATTAGAACCTAATTTATGAACTGTTAATGAACAGTAGACTAATTATTTTGTTGATCCTGATCACCCAATTTTTCTTGCTTTTGGGCAACAAAGCTTCACCTTTCAGTTCATTTTATACACTATGGATCCTCTAAATTGTTGTATTATACTCAGGTGACCGTTAAGGCCCTTGGGCCTACTTGTTTAATTAAATGAAACCGGCGAACATTCTCAAAAATTTCTTTTATGATAAAAACATTTCTGTTCTATATAAAAATAAATCAAATAAACAAAAGTCAACCGCAATTTGGAAACGTTTCTGAGAGATTATTGAGAATGCCTCCACGCGGCAAGAGTTGGTTGGGCAACAGTATCGATATTTTTTTAGGAGGAGGGGGATAATTAAATGATACTGGCAAACATTCTCATTTCTTTGGAAATGTTTTCTATAAGATTATTCAAACTTAATATTAATTTATTAAATATTTCATGGGTCACGCTAAACAAGCAAAAGAACTAAATAGCATAAATTAGTAAAGAGACCAAATTTACGGGGCTTTTTGCAAACGAACATTCTATAAAAATATCTAAGGGGCGCTTTGACCAAAATCAGGGGGTGATCATTGCTTAGTGACAGTTTCAAAATGGATTTTTTCTATAAAATTATATTAGGGGGCGCTTTGACCAAAATCAGGGGGTGCTTTGGCCAATATTTGGGGGTTGTTTTGTAACATCGTTTTACTGTAAAATTCCTTTAGGGGCGCTTTGACCAAAATCAGCGGGGGGCGCTTTGACCAAAATCAGGGGGGCACTTTGGCCAATATTTGGGGGCTGTTTTGTAACATCGTTTTACTGTAAAATTCCTTTAGGGGCGCTTTGACCAAAATCAGCTGGGGCGCTTTGACCAGACTCAGGGGGGCGCTATGACCAATATTTGGGGGCGGTTTTGTAAAATCATTTTACTGTAAAATTTCTTTAGGGGGCGCTTTGACCAAAATAAGGGGGCTTTTTGACCAAAATCAGGGGGCGCTTTGACCAGGACGGTTTTGTTAGGGGGTGCATTGACTGGATTTCATCTACCTTTACTGCTGAGCTTTCTTGTAACTATTCCCATGAACTTTTCTCGGAGCACATTGTTTACAACTGCAGTCCGCCATATTGAAATAGGCGCATTTCCAGAATAAGCGGACCGAAAAATTCTTAATTTAGAATTCACATGTAATGTCACGTGATCGCTATCCGTAGCTACGTTAAGAACTTACATGAATCTCTTTCCAAACTGAGGAAAAATTTTGGGAAGAGCCTGTATAATGGGGTATAAGAGATGATTGCTTGGGCATTATAAACTTAAATTTTATCTCCATCCTTCAATTGCGCAATTCATATATCAAAAACATACCTTACCCAACAAAATATTTTGCTTCATAGAATTTTCACATGAAATCATTATTAAAACAAGGGAACATCTTCACATTTATGATCAAAAAATGAAATCCACACATTACCGTGTTACAGAATTATCTATCAGAACTTACATGGATGATCTGGTAGATGTAGTAGGTGGGCTTTGCCAGACCCAGGAAAGCAAAGATCCAGGCTGCTGCTTTCCATTCCCTCCTCAACTAAAGAAAAAAACATGATACAAGCTTACTTGGTATACCATATTCTATCACAAAGGCCTTTAACATCTTATAAACTCTACCTCCCCCACCTGGGAATTCCACAGATTCATGTATAATGAGTTACATTAATTTTATAAAAAATCAAAATTGGTCGTCCTTGGCTATAGGCATATATTACAGTAAATAAACATTCTTTCAAATTAACCTTATATCCATGCAGACATTTTACTTTGTAATTGCAATTTTTTCATTTATATCACATATTACACACCAATTACAAACTTAGATATTTATGTATTGGAGATAATGTACAAGAATAATGCTTGTACATGTAGTTTTTTGCTCAATTATTCCATTGTGCATCATCTTGCAAAATCAACATGTAAACCTGTGATTTGTGTTGACATTGATAGTATTCTTTGGGTCATTGTCCTACTGCTTAAGGAAAAGAATAATTAGGTAACCAGTTTACTTACAGTGAACCAACCAAAGATGTTCCACAGCATGGAGTATGGCAGTCCAACAGACAGCGCCACCTGCTGGAACACATCAAGTTTTGTTCCATCTTTCAAAACCCAAATTACGAAGCTTGCCTGTATAGTTCAAGTAAAAAGTTAATGTTTACAATTTTCACAGAGTGTGAGAGGCTACTGTAATGCTTTTTCACTTCTGTGTGAGGAGAGTTAATTTGATGCATAGTGTATGTCAATCATAAGAAATCTTTTATTTTTGTGAGGCATTTGTTATTGCTGTCTGAATGTACATTTGTAGCATGATTGCACTCTCTACATGGGTCACAATGCTTACCTAAGTCACTGTGGTCCTACTGATTTTCAAAAGATTTTTTCCCTCTTTATTCCCCTGAAAAATTTTGTCCCAATATTGTGACCCATACCTAGAATTAACCACAGGGTCCATAATTTGAAACAAAAAGAAAAAAAAGGAAGAAAACTACGGTAAATCCCTTCAATTAATATAGGAATGTTTTCATAATAGTATGATTTATTTTGGCCCTGCTGCTCCTGAAAGGATATGTTCCTTTAAATTCCCTTGTTAAACTATTGTCACCAATTGTAACCCAACCATACTCCCAAGGGCCCTTATTTGGTCAAACTTGAATCTACACTCTGAGGATTCTTGCATACTGATATCACTGCATAATCATGGCCTTGTTGTTTTTTAGAATAATTTAGGTCATTTTTAAAATATTGTTTGGTTGCCCTATCCCAACCGTCTGGTTAAAAATGGCCCGAATCAAAACTTTTTTTAACCTCTAGGAAGCATTTGTTTTCTTTATGCATCCAGGAAAACAGATCTTGAAAATTCAGCATTGATTTTGAAATTTTCTTTGAAAAAAAAAATTCTCACCTACCTACTGACTCAATTTTCCCATCCTTAGTCAGGAGAGGGCAAGCAAACATTATTTTAAAGTTAGCCTTAATCTGAATTTTTTCCCCCTACATACATGTACTGTATATACAGGGAAATTTTTGCCCCTTTTATTTTTGCCCCTTTTGCCCTACTCACAGGTGGGCAAATTTAAAACTGGGCGAATTCAAAGAACACAGTATAATTCATTAAACAGATCTGTGATAGGGTAAATTTAACATGGGGCAAAATTGTTTGCAAGTGTGAAAGGGCAAAAATAAACCTGTATACAGTAATCCAATGGTACACTTCCATGTCCTATTGTGGCCCCAATTTATTAATGATTTATTCATGATTTGAACAAACTTGATTCTACATAATGTTAGAAAAGTTTCATATACCAAGTTTCATCTTTTCTAGCCCAGCAGTTCTTGAGAAGATTTTAAAGTAGATGTCATTAATTTTCACTAATTCTTAATGATCTTCCTATAAAAGAGGGTGTGGCCCTTCATTTGAACAATCTTTTAATCCCCTTCTCACAAGGATCATTATGCTTTAATATGGCAAGTTTGGTTGAAATTGGCCCAGTGGTTCTTGAGAAGAAGTTGAAAATGTGAAAAGTTTACAGAGAGACAGACAAATGTCAGACAAAATGTGATCAGAAAAGCTCAGGTTAGCTTACACACTCTTTGAAATTTGAATGAATTAATAATCAATGATTTTCAGGGGTATCACAATTACTCACTGTAACTTGGATATCAAACTTCAGCATAGAGGAAAAGATTGAGGCTTGTTTGTACAAATGTGAAAATAAAATTCAAAATTACTTCGACATATCCATGGTACCGTATTCGAGATACAGAAGTTCAACTGTAGTTTAGGTTAAAAGTTTATAAATTTTCCTTTAAAATAAAGGGCCTAATGTAGACTCACTAACCAAATCAAACATATGATTTGTAATAGAGATAATAAATAAATATTAACACAGGGATTCTAGCCATTATAATGTAAATCAGCTGTTTACATAAAAATAATGAAACTTACATATGTAGGTATTCAGATGCTCCAACAATTCTGAATGTTAAATAACCAAAGTGTCTGGCCACTGACCACGCTAGGACGATATTGGGGGGAGCCAGTACAATGGCTAAAATCATCCTCACCTATGTCAGTTATAAAATTAAACCACTTTTTTTAACCAAGTTAACTAAAACAAACAAAAACAAACAAAACAAATAAATGTAGAGTGTACTGCAAGAAAAATACTTCAAGAGTCTGGCATTGATTATTTTTTTCCAGATGTTATTTTACATGCAAGGGAAATGTAGAAAGTTGTCATCTATAAATACAAGAGAAGGATACATGTATCCCTTCCCCCCCCCCCCCCCACTACTCACCCATCAACCCCCTGCACAAAATGTCTACTCACTAATATAGATTTTTATAAATAATTAGGAAAATTTACAGAAGATTGTGAGAAAATGAAAATCATGCAAATTAATTTAGTTCATTATATGTTAATTTGAATGATTCCTTAGCTCTTTGATTGGCTGAAATCCAACACTGTTGAAAAATACTATGCTATGGTCACCTGCACATGACCTTCCAGGTGAACATTTCAAAGAATTTATTTTTTCTAAATTGGATTAAAAAATAGATTGAGAATTTTTCGACTAATACTAATAATAAGTTAAGAAAAGTTATATCACCTGCACTAGACTTCCACTCAGGTGAACGTAACATTCAGGCACGTTGTATCCGTAGGGAAGGGGGATGGGTCTGCCCCCCATTCCCACTTTTTTCTGAACATTAATTTTTACTATTAATTTAGTATGAAAATGTATACTGAAAGGCTGCCCCCCCCCCTTTTTTGCTGATCCAGTATAGTCGAATCCCTCTTCCGTTCATGGACTTTAACCCCCCCCAACCCCCCAACCCCAGAAATAAGATTTTGATGTTAAGAGAGGTTTTTTCTTGGGTAATTCCAGTAAGTTGTCAAAATGTGTGATTGTTCCCTCAAAAGAAACTTAAATAAAATTTAGGAAACATACAGTTTTTTAGCTGCATGGATAACTCTCTTTTGACTGAGTAATTCATCCTATGTCCAATATTTTTTGTACATGTATGGAGATTGCATCCATATCCAATATTTAGTTTTATATTCAATAGAATACTAGTACCAGTTTTAGTGTACTCCTTCCATCAACATTGACGATGTACTCCACGACACAGTACACCAGTACAACAAGGATAGCTAGGATCAGGACATATAGCTCGTACTTCTTCTCTCGCAGCAGGCCATGAAACGCATAAAATATACAGAACACTGGAAATAAATATGTAAAATATACAGAACACTGGAAATTAAACACGTAAAATATACAAATCACTGGAAATAAACACGTAAAATATACAAAACACTGAGAAAATAAACACATAAAATTATACAGAACACTGGAAATAAACACATAAAATTATACAGAGCACTGAAAATAAACTCGAAAAATTATACAGGACACTGGAAATAAACACATAAAATTATACAGAACAGGTGAAATATACTGAATACTGGGAAAAAAGTAAAATGTACAAAACAATGGAAAAATCAGAGGTACTGTGAGCACTGTGCTGACACAAAATGATAACCCCTGCTCCAATATGAGTATAATTAAAGGCCAAGACCATTTTTGGTGTGGGAAACCCCAAATATCTGTCCAACCATAATGTAAAATATGATGTGCAAATTGGCACTATGTGAAAAAGATTCTGGAAAAGTCTCATTTAATTTTATTCTAATCAATGGTATAGGAGGAGTTGCAGATAAGAGATGGGTACCCCCTAATACATGTACATCTTCCCAAGTCAAGGGTTTCTGATCCATTCCTCTCTCTGCATAAACCCTTGACCGAATAGTCGGACTTTGACAGGAAAGAAATGCACTGATTGGCCTCATAAAAGTTTGCATGAGCCAATCAAAAACATTGTTTTCTTTAACCTGAAACTAAATTGTAAGCAGAAAAACATGCCAGTTTTAGTCCCAACGAAAACATTTTTACCATTAAAAAATCAAGTTAAAGGCTTGTCTCAGCCTTGGAGTTAATGTTATGCTGAATTTATTATCAATTTTCAATATTGTCTCACATTTTCTATTTAATTCGCTTACTCTAGTTGGTCAATAGCAGAGGTCAGTAGGATTTAAAATGAGGAGTTGTGGATTGGAGATGGGCACCATCAATGTTATAGAAAGAATGGCAGTGTTCATGTTTGCAGTGAGAAACCCCAAATATCTGCCCGATTGAAATGTAAAATACAGTACAGGCCACGAGTTTTCCCCGTCGCACGGTGGAAAACACACCGTGTGAAATGCTCTGTGTCACACCGTGTACACGGTGTAGCACGGTGTGTGAGGATTTGAAATACACAGGTAGGCACACCGTGCCGCACCGTGTCTACAAAAATCCCAGCTAATGCTCCCCGTGTCGCACCGTGCCCAGAAAATTCTCACCGTGTCGCACCGTGTCCATAACATTACATAGAAAAATCATTTTGTTCTGATAAAATATTTTAAAGCAATTATCACACTGATTTTTGTGTATAATTATCGTTTTCTATTCTAGAAGACATTGACATGTGTTCTGAATAGTACTAATGATACATATAGTAGGATTAAATATCAGTAGCAGGAAAATTAAATGTTGAATTTACCGTGGGGCCAGAAGTTCAAATTTCGTAAAGTTGTTTAGTTACTTTTTAAAATTATTACTTGGATTGAAATTTTTAATGCCTAAAGAATATAATCCCACGTAATCACGTAACGAAGATATGGAATGATCGGTGTTACATGTGGTATACGATCCGAGCTGCATGTATTTATTTTAGTATATAAACCAAGCATTTATATTCAAGAGTAAAGCACATAATTTTATTTTGTTAATCTAATATTATTCTGAATTTATAAACGAGAATCGAGAGCAAAAACACGAAATTCCTGTGTACAATAATGTGCGTATTTTTCGTAACAGAATAAATTCCTTACATAAACTAGTAAGTTTAAATTATATTTTAAAAATCTTTTCAGTGTAAGAATTTGATATGTGTAAAGAAGCAATGACAGAGAGAGAGAGAGAAAGAAGAGAGAGATGCTCTTAACCCCCTTTCGCATAAATCTGAAGAAAAAAATCATTTATGAAAATTCTTCGTTTAATAATGCCGAAGCCTATCTCTCGTGACAGACGATTTTTTTTTCTTTTTATAAACTAGTATTCATGTTTTAAAATCCTTTCAGTGTAAGTATTTTGTAAGTTTTTCTTTAATTGAAAAGTGTGTAAAGAAACAATGTCAGAGAGAGAGAGAGAGATTCTTTTAACCCCCTTTCACATAAATCTGTAAAAAAAAATAAATAATAATAATAATAATAAAATAAATAAATACATGTAATTCCTCGTTTTATTTACATTACCAAAGTCACAATTAGCCATTCTATAATTCTATTCAAATTCTGTAACATTGTTTCATAGTCAACCCAGTTGTTACATGTTATTCTCGGTTACACACGAAATCCTCGTGCTATTAATACCTGTCAATCAAAATCGCACGACGCTAGATGGCCCAGAAAGTCTGTTTACACGGAAAGTCATTCTAATGCAGTTCCGAGTTCACACCTTTCTTAAAAAATATATTGGAGCACAGCCGGAGGGCCGGGGGCGCTGTGTGTTTATCACACCTTTCAAATTCTTTCGTCCTTATCCACATCAAGTGTATAACACACTCAACTGACTTCCAGTCAAATTCATCTACCGGGTTACGCCAACAGACGTGTATTTTGACTTGATTACAAACTTACTTTGTAAATTATTCCTTTTCAGACACATATAAGCATGTAGATGTAACCTGTTAAATTATGGTTGTTTTATTTCACAATAGCGTACATGTAACATATAAAGAAAATCTACAGACTTTCGATTAATTTAGAACGGGGGGGGGGGGGGTTAACAAACATAATAGCTAAAATTGAAAGAGGCCTGGGATTTTATTAACTACATATTTTTTTCTCTAAAACTATGATAATAATTTTACAAAGACTTTGACCATAACAGAAGCTTTATTCTATTTTACATGTACATCCCCGCTATACATTCGCTAATTGATTTTTTTTTTCGCAAACCGTTCGACACATTTTTCATTAAATAATTTCAGGAAAAAGTAATTAGAACAGCAGATTTGAGTTACCAAAATTCGACTTTTTGTGTGTGTGTGATATAAATTTGTTACATTAAAAGTTTAGACTTTATCAAGTTAAACTTATCTATAACGTACAGTCTGTTATAGATAAGTTTAACTTGATAAAGTCTAAACTTTTAATGTAACATATTTACCTCCATATTTAACAAGATTACAGATTGCAATATAATCCTTAATTATCAGAGAGTTTTTGAATTATGTGCGTGTATCTGACACGTTTTAAGTTTTATTTTAGATACATTTTTTTTAATTCCCTTTATGTAGAAATGATTTATAAAATAAAACATGCATCTGATAAATACGACGTATGAATGCATACGTGCGGCAAAAGAATCTTTTTATGAAAATGACTGTAATTAAAATGAACACAGTTTATATAATCAAAAGAAAAGACAACCAGGTATTTTATTTACGAAAGTGTAATCACTATTCCTTCTAAGCATTATAATAGTTTACCGAACACATTTTTTCTCTCGATCGTATAAGTAGGTTTTGAAACACGACTTACATGGATGTGCGTACACATTTGAAGACTAATTGTCTTTTCGGTACTGGGCACGAGCACGTGGATCTTAAATTTTAGGGCGTCTTATTTGTTCAAACATCTGCATATCAATAATGAAGAACTAAAAAAAAGGAAATTGATATAATTGATTAAACAAAGACAATGAATAGGTTTTTTTTTTAAAATTCTGTGTGATATCGTAATGGGACACTGTGATACACCGCGTACACACCGTGTTACACGGTGCGCAGACAATCCTAACTTCAAAGACGCCGACATTGATCGAGGTCCACGCAAAAGCGTGGACTTGCGGTCCACGGGGCCCCGTGTTTTTCGGGGAAAACTCGTGGCCTGTACTGTAGGAGGTCCACTATGACACTATGTAACAAAGATTCTGTGAAAGTCTCATCAAATTTTATTCAGTGGTATAGGAGGAGTTGCAGTTAAGAGATTGGTACCCCCAAGTGTTACGGACGGACGTATACACAGAAGAAGAGACACCCCATCACTATATACCCGCGCTTTTCAAGTTGGGGGTATAGAAAGTTGATATATAGAACAATGGAAAAAAAATAAAATATACAAAACACATACTGGATAAAATACGTAAAATACAGAACACTGGAAAATAAACATTAGTCAAGCTAATTAAGGGAATTTGTGTCTCACGCTTAAGAAAAAAAGAAAAGGGTGGAAGACCTCAAAGAAATGCAGATGGAGAAAGAACTAGAAATATGTCCATAGGACATGAATGCCCCGCCGAGGGTATATTAGTAATGCAACATTTTAACACAAATTGAGAAAAGTGAGGTCAAGGTCAAAGAAAGGTCAAGGTGAAAAAATATTGATGCAGTTGAATAGCTTACATCAGTATGTATCAGCATATGAAGTTTGACACTAATCTAAGAAAAGTGAGGTCAAGGTCAAAGGAAAGGTCAAGGTCAAAAATTGTTGATGCAGTTGAAAAGGTTACATCAGTATGTGTATTAGCATATGAAGTTTGATAAAAATATTATGAATGGTTTCTTTAAAACTGAGCTAAACACTAATTTAAGAAAAGTAAGGTCAAGGTCAAAGGAAAGGTCAAGGTCAAAAAATATTGATGCAGCTGAATAGCTCTCATCAGTATGTATCAGCATATGAAGTTTGACACTAATTTAAGAAAGTGAGGTCAAGGTCAAAGGAAAGGTCAAGGTCAAAAAATGTTGATACAGTTGAAAAGGTTACATCAGTATGTATCAGCATATGAAGTTCATTAAAAATATCTTGAATTGTTTCATTAAAACTGAGCTAAACACTAATTTAAAAAAGTGAGGTCAAGGTCAAAAGAAAGGTCAAGGTCATAAAATGTTAATGCAGTTGAATAGCTTACATCAGTATGTATCAACATATGAAGTTTGATTAAACTACCTTGAATGGTATCTTTAAAACTGAGCTTAACACTAATTTAAGAAAAGTGAGGTCAAGGTCAAAAGAAAGGTCAAGGTCAAAAAATGTTGATGCGGTTGAATAGCTTACATCAGTATGTATCAACATATGAAGTTTGATTACACTATCTTGAATAGTTTCTTTAAAACTGA